ATCAAAATTCATACATGAAATGCTTGAAATTCTAAAGGACTAATAAAAGACAGGTGATTAGAATCGAGTATAATAACATATATGTATACAGTGCCATAATAAAATCCTAACTTAAATTCATTTTTAAAAGAAAAATAAAATTTGTCAAATACTATCTATATGGTGCCTTTTTATTTTTCTTCTACCTGAAGTGAATGCCCTGCTCACCTCAGACCTGCTCACCCTGGGGCACACAATCCAGATGTGCAGACACGATTCAGATGTTCCGACAGTCCAGATGTGCAGACGCAGTCCAGATGTGCAGACGCAATCCAGATGTGCAGACAATCCAGATGTGCAGGGTGGGGGAATCGGATGATGGGACCAGAGTGTCTGTTGGTTTCCTTTGGGGTCACAAAGCTCCCCAAAACTAAAGATGTCTACTTTCTCACAGATTCTCAGAGCCGTCTGTCCTATTTTCCTTCCAGCCTTACTTAACATCTCCAGAAGGTACAAAAGAAAGCCCACCCCCGAGTCCACCCTGCCCCAGGGTATGGGGGAAATCCCAGCTGAACAAAACCTACAATTCAGAGTGTGGGACTTTGGAATGGGTTAGAAACGCACCCGAAAGAAACAAGTCAGCAGATTGTCACGCCTAAGGCTGTGTGTGTAAAAAGCTCTCTGGAAGCTAAGTCTGTTTTATTGTAATAGCAAGCGTTTTTTTTTTTTTTTAACTTTTCCAACCCACAGGCAACTGAAGTGTTTTTCTGCAGTCAATCTGGGACGGGAGAATTTGCAGATAAACACCCTCTTATTGCTCTCTGGAGAATGGTGCCCAGGGACTTGCCAGAAGAAGCTATTTTGTGGATTCTTACAGAGGGCAGAAAGAAAATGGACAGTGTTCTTCCTCAACCCGTAGCCATTTAGGCAGGAGTGGAGTGGAGTTCGCACTCAGGCCTTGGATGAGCAAGGTGTAAATAGATTAGCAAGTACTACATTGGCGATTTAAAAAACAAAAATGAAATCAGTGGGGGAATGCCATTTCTCTCTTAACAGCATTTGGAAGGCAGGAGGCAGCTTGTGTACACAAGGCAACCCACGGCCCAGCCCAGGCTTTATGTTCCTGGCCTTCAGTCTCTTTTCTGCTGTCCTGATGACCGAGCTCATTAGTATTTAAATCAGCTCATAAATATTTCCTGGAAATCCACAGCCGCTTAAGCTCCGCCGCCACCATTCATCTTGTTCCCTTTGGCCCTACTTACGCCTTTCTTCCCAAGGCCAGCCGATATGTTGCGGGAAGGCGGCTCTCGTGACATATTAATCTTCCTGGAAAAGGAAGTCCTGCTGGAGGATGAAGGCAAAAGCAGAGAACGGATGAGGAAGGGAATTTTGCTCCATTTCCTGTGTGCAAATATAATTATCTAATGATGGGCTGTGAAAGTCGGAATAAAATAAAAAAACAACTCGAAAGCCAGAGTCAAGGTCATTCGACCTGAATGAATGTTTCTTTCAGGGACTCTTTAAGAGCTTTGAAAAGGGGGAAACGGTTCACTGGGGGCCAAGCCCAGGATGCTCCCCCTGGGGAGACGGTTGCGTGGCTACAAATCCGTTTCTGTTCTGTTCTGTAATCCTAACAGTCATCGAATCATGATGACAGACATCGAATCATGATGACAGAGAGGGGCCGGTTCCGTCGTGGTATTCTGTACAGTCTTAGCATTCATTCTGCCCTGGTTCAACCTCGGAAGCACTCGTCATAGGGTGTCTGCAAAAGATTTGCCTTCCGATTATGCTTTTTACCCACACAAAGATTCCTTATAATGCCAAGCTAATAGAAAAGCTAAGCAGTCGTCTCCACCAAGCCCGGGAACAGTTGTTTGGGCAGAAATGCCACCGGGGAACTTTCTTGCAGACCTCACCTGAGCCGTGAAATCCCTCAGCTGTAGCAGGCCGGGAGGATGGAGATTCAGGAGCCCCGAGGGAGCCAAGACCAGGGCAAGTGCCGACCCCCAGGCCTGCGTGGGCCTAGTGACCATGTTGGAAGTCCAGCGCTCACAGCGCCAGGGCCACGCAGAGCCCCAAGGCCTCTTGCCGATCAGTACCAACACGTAGGCAAGAAGGGCGAATCTAGAGAGCACAGCTACCCAAGCCAGAGACCCTTCCCAAAGTTCCAAGTGTTTATCATTTCACTGGGGGGTAGCGCCACACTATGGGGCTCACGGTTGGAGGCTGATTCACTAGCATCTGTACACTGCCTTGGGTACATATCAAGGCCTCTCCCATTGCTAGGCTCCTATCTGAGCGGCTAGGTGGCCTGGCAGGGGCTTGCTTCTGAGGCCTAGCAACCCGCCCCCTTCCCACTTTTATTGAAAATAGTTTTTTTTCCCACCTCACATGTTATAATCTGATCACGGTTTCCCCTCTCTCTGCCTCTCCCAGTTCCTCTCCCACCTCCCCTCCCATCTGGACACCCCCGCCCCCATTTCCATCTCTCATTAGAAAACAAACAGGCTTGTAGGGAATAATAATAAAATAAAAGATAAGATAAAGCAAAAACTATAACATTGGGGTTGGACAAAGACAAACAGAAGGAAAAGAGTCCACATGAAGGTAAAAGAGTCACAGACCTACTCGTTGACACACCCGGGAAATGCATTTAAAAACCTTACACTGGAAGCTGTAACACACACACAGGCCCTGGTGCAGACCCCTGCAGGCCCTGAGCACGCTGCCTCAGTCTCTGAGTTCACAAGCTTTGCTCGTGTTGATTTAGAGGACCTTGTTCTCCTGGTGTCCTCCATGCTCTCTGGCTCTCACAGTCTTTCAGCCTCCTCTTCCACAGGGTCCCCCGAGCCCTGAGGCGAGAGATTTGATAGAGGCATCCAGTTTCAGGCAGAGTGTTTTCAAGTCTCTCACTCTCTGCATATTATCTGGTCGTGACTCTCTGTATTTATTTCAGTCTGCACAGGAGGAAGCTTCCCTGATGATGGCTGGATAAGACTATGGGTTGAGCATAGCAGAATGTCATTAGGAGTCATTTTACTGTTATTTTTTTTATGCTAGTGTTTTGTTTTACCCCACATCCCTAGGCTATCTCGAGCCTCTAGTTCTTGGCCATCCAAGCAGCACTGGGTACGGGTTCTGTCTCATGGAGTGAACCTTACGTCAAATCAGATATTGGTTGGTTACCCCAGGGAGCTTTGTGCCGCCATTACCCTAGCGTATCTTGCATTCAGGACACCGCTGTGGATCAGACGGTCTGTGGCTGGCTTGGTGTTTGTTTCTCTTGTGAGAGTATACAGAATACCTCCCTGTACCAAAGATACTAGAATGTAGGGCCGAAAGCTCTATGTCGGCACCAGCTTGACTTCTACATGTTCAATGAGTTGTGGAGGTGGCGTCTTCAGGTTCTCCCAGCATCCCTCAGTCCCTTCCTCTTACGGGGTATGGCTGGCAAACCCCTGTTCTCTACCCGGACCTCTCCAGCCCAGGGGCTAAGCTGCCCCTCCCCCCTAGGGGCTCCTCCCTGTATAATCCAGACATTCTCATTTCCTGCCCCTTACCTTTGGTGCCTTTGGCTTCCTGACTGCTGCTCCTGGCTCCCCTTTCTCTCCTCTCCCTTCCCCTCCCCCTCTCCCCACATGGCCCAGCTCAGTCAGGTTACGTCCACTCTGGACTCTCTCAGATCACCCTGCCTCTGGCTATGCTCTCTCCTACGTATCTACAGCTTGCAGGTAACGGAAAATATCACCCCGAGTGAGGTATCCAAGACCCTGAAAGGCAAACATATGTAATCACTTATATGTGGATATTAGCTGTTGTGTCAATGACCACCAAGCTATAATCCGTAGACCCACAGAGGTTAGAGGTTGGGAAAAGGCGAGGGGTTAGGGGTTAGATCTTTTTTTTTTAAAGATATATTTATTTATTACATATACAGTGTTCTGCCTACATGCCAGAAGAGGGCGCCAGATCTCATTACAGATGGTTGTGAGCCACCATGTGGTTGCTGGGAATTGAACTCAGGACCCCTGGAAGAGCAGTCAGTGCTCTTAACCTCTGAGCCATCCCTCCAGCCCCAGGGGTACAGATCTTGTTAGGCAAGGTAAATAGGACAGCTGTGGATGGCGTGGTGTGTTGGAGTGAGAGAACTAAAATTAGGGACTGTCTTGGTCAGGGTTTCTGTTGCTGTGAAGAGACGCCATGGCCTATGCTGTCGACCAGAGCGGTGAGATTAACACAAGGTGGAGAAAGCTTTGGGCTAAGAGGGAGGACCACAGAGAGAAGTCACCGCAGTTTCCGCTGTTTCTGCTAGCTTGGGGTTTGTGGTAGGGTGTGGAGGCACCCAGGAGAACTGACGGGATTTGAGTTAAAGTTTTTGTTTAAAATGTATTTGAAAACACGAACTGGTCTTCTCCTCTTCATAGTTCATTAACTGATTATCCCATCCGTCTTTCTTCCTTTCCATCCTCTGACCCATCGGGGTTAAACGTCTAAGGGTTTTTTGAATTGTGTATCTAGGCTAGAGTTCTTTTCTGCTGCCTGACCTTCAAAGGCACTGCTGTTGACAAGCTTAGCAGTTTGCATCTCCACACCCACGTGCCTCTTCTGCAGATTGGAAACAAAAGCTAAATCCTGGAGACAGCAAGATGCAGGTTTTGACCTGTGTAACTTGCTCCTGGTGAAATTCACAGCAGTATTCAGACATCAAAGCAAAGCCCCCCCCCAAAACCACTTGGGTACCAGCAGGCCAAAAATCAGTGCTGCCTGAAAGGAGTTCATCCTCAGTGCCTCCACACCTCCCTCCCTCCATCCTTTTCACCCCAGAAATTGGTGCAGGGCAGGAGCAGCCGGTTCCTGTCTGGGGCTCTTGTCCTCCTCATTCTAGAACCCCCTCCCCCCCAGCCCGGCTAACGCTGCAGCTCAAGCGTCTGGATTCTGCCCTGGCACTGTCGGCTCAGCCTCGGGGACTGAGTAAAAGGATGCACAGTCAGCACTTCCCCTTCCCCATGTGACAGATGGAGCAGGCCGATCCTGGGAGCCGTGGGACGCAAAGAGACAAAGGGGAGAAGGGTTTTCCAGGAGGGCCGCTGGTTAGGCAGAAGGTGGGCTTGAGTGGACAGCTTTTGTTTCGGGAGAGGGGAGCTCCCTGGTCCCAGGGCGCCCCTTTTCAGAATCTCAGTCAAAGGCTCTTTTGTCCTCCTCTGCTCCTCGCGCTGAAGGGCCAGGTGCAGACTCTGTTCCCAAGGGAACCGGAGCTTGGTGCCCGTGGAGGTTGGCAGCCCTGGATGCTGAGCCTGGCTGCCTGCTATGGCCTCAAACCCTGGACCACATCAGAGGGAGAGAGAAACAGGCAGGTGAGGGACCGAGAGCAGGGGGTTTGGGGGAGCTGAGGTTCTACCCGCCTGGACCTCAGCGGTGATCCTCACAGCCTGCTCTCCCTTGTCTCCATGCCCGCGGTCCTTTTCCCGGCTGAGCCCTGCACACCACACACAACCAGTGCTTCCAAGTCCTTCCCTGTTTGACCCTCCAGGTGTAAACATTTCCGTAACAAATCACACAGCGTGGTGTTCTAGGTAGTGAAACGAGGGGTCAGGGTGTATCAGAGCCATCTGTGGGTTCGAACCCTAGAGCACGGGAAAGAACCGGCATCCCTGTTTGCTGAGATGCTTCTCCGGAGGTAAGTTATGAACATTAAGCATCTTTTGTCCGTAGGTTGGCTTCTGTTGCACATGTGTAGTGAAATACTGGAAAGCCTTTCCTGGGCAGAGAAATGCAGCCTCAGTTCAGGCCTAAGATTTGTACTGGGTGCTGACGGGGAGATATTCTTCTGTATATGTTTCTCTTATTGGTTGATGAATAAAACACTGAGTGGCCAGTAGAAGCGGGAAGATAGGCAGGTCTAGGAGGTGAGGAGAATGCTGGGTAGAAGCAGGAGAGAGAAGCTTCTAGGAGGAGAAGCCATGTAGAGACCGGGAGGATAGGATGTGCCAGTGTTCTCTGGTAAGATGAGGCCATGTAGAAATACATAGATTAGCAGCTTTGGGTTAATAATTAAGACAGAGCTAGCCAATAAGAAGCCCTAGCTGTCGGCCACCAGTTTGTGTGTTTATTTGGGGCAAAGCAGCTGTGGGACCAGGTGGGACAGAATCCTTCCTCTTCAGGGAGCCTTTGCTTGGCTCTCAGAGTAAACTTCTCCACAAAGATCTCCACCTTCTCCCACAAGCTTCTTTTTCATGCCTACCTTTCTCGGTGAACTGCAATGTCCTCCGTATAACTGACGCATTGAGTTAGTCAGATTCCCTGGTAGGTTGACAGATAGGGAGTGAGCCTTGACTAGGTAATGAAGATGTCCAGCTTCCAGCTCCTTCCTCCACTCGGGACCTGAGACAAACGCCTGGCATCTTTTGTTTTGTTTTGTTTTGTTTTTGAGACAGGGTTTCTCTGTGGCTTTGGAGGCTGTCCTGGAACTCGCTCTGTAGACCAGGCTGGTCTCCAACTCATGGAGATCTGCCTGCCTCTGTAAAGACATTCCACACCACCACACAGTGGTTTTTTTTGTTTGTTTGTTTTTGTCTTTTTTGTTTGTTTGTTTGTTTTCTAAAACAGTTTTTCTGTATAGCTCTGGCTGTCCTGACACTTAGTCTGTAGGACCAGGCTGGCCTCAAACTCAGAAATCTGCCTGCCTCTGAGTGGTGGGATTAATCCTGGCATCTTAAAGGCCTTGTGGGTTTTTATTTCTGCCAGCATTCCTCAGGAACTTGTGAAGCCAGTAATTTACCAAAAGGGGCCATTTCCCTTATCACTGGCAGAAAGGACAAAAGGCTATTAGCCTCCATCTCTCCATATCTCCCTCCTTTTCTCCCCCCCCCTCTCTCTCCATCTCTCTCCCCCCCTCCTCTTTCTCCATCTCTCTTCTCTGCTCCTGCTTCTTGGGTCCAGTCTATTTCCTTCTCTCCCTGCTCTGGACTCCTCCGGATGCCCCTAGCTGCTCTCTCACGTCTACAATAAAAACCGTCCCCTTAGCCATGCCATGGAGCAGTCTTCATGTTGCCCGTTTATACCCCCTCCTCCTCTCTCTTCTCCTAAGAGGTGACAGGCTGGCCACATCTGCACACTCCCAAAGCCGTCACGTGCCCTGCCCTCCTGCCAGCCCTTTATTTCAAGACTCCTACTGCTTGGAGATTTCTACTGAGGTGAGAAGGACAGCTTCAAATGGTACAGATAGACCCCAAAACACTTTCAGTAGCACCTCATCCCCAAATCCTGCCTCTCCCTCTCCAAGGCAAATACTGGCTATTGTTAGGGCCTAGGAATGCAGAGGTTTTGTTAATGTTTATATGTATTTTAAGATATTAAGATGGCTATATGAAATGCATAATTTCTTGATATGGCTATCCTATATAAAGCAGTGCATTTCTGAATTTTACCAACATCTTGAAGAGACCCAGAACTGAGTAGTGCTCCAGGCTGAGCCAGTAGGAGTCGTGGTTGAGACTTCTTCAGTCATTGATGCTCTCACAGCTGGTGAGTCCAGCACCTGGCAGGACTCACTTGCAGCTATGTCTTTGTGAGTAATAGGAACTGGGCCTCATTTTACAATCTGATTCTTGTATGCCCTACATTTTAAAGATTCTTTATCATCTCTGGCTCACAGAGAGCATTCCTTGTGCTTCCCTGGATCGTCTTGGATTTTCACAATCACTTCTGTCGCTTCTATTATATGATATCACGAACATGGCCTTTGTAATTATCTATTTACTTATATGTCTCTGGACTTGACTCTTTACAGACAATTACTAATTATCTGTCTGCCTGGCATTTGGTAGTCACTCATAAATGTTTATTGCATAACTAACTAAATAAAAAAATCGGCCTTACATTCACCTCCTCTAATGGTCGGAGAAGCTCTAGCAAGGTTTTTGTACAACCTTGTGATAGATCATCAAGCAGCTTCCTAATTAAGTTACTTCCCCTTCAAAATCCCATGAAAGAAGTATATTATTCTTGCACTGACTCTGTCCTGGGCCAGGGTACTTTCTTGGACAAGTATAGGAGGAGTATACAAATTGTGGGTGGAGGTTGCTTGCTTGGGGGACTGGCTTGCTGTCTTGAATGTCTGTCCTTCTCAAATAGGAGAACGGCCCATAGAAACAGTTGCTCAAGGAGGATCAGAGCACAATTGTCATCTTGGGATCCATCCAAACTATGTAAGCTGGGTTTTCACGACTCTTCAGGGATCTGGGTGAGAAGATGGTTACTGTTGCCTGCCATTGAGATGCAGAAGTGGGTTTGTGTCACAGTATTCTTGTGGATAGTGGTCACCGGAGATACACCCACATCAGAACCACTTGGGTTACTTGTTGTGAATGAAGTGCCAGAGCCTACCCTGGGCTTTCAGCTCTGGGCTACAGACATTTACATTAAAGGCGTGGAAAATTCAGAAACTTAAGGACTTCTTAGACAGGTTTATAAATGTGGCATTGTTCAAAAAAGAAAAAAGACATCCTTCCATGCACGTGGCCACCTCATGGCTGCTTGCTTAAACCGGAATAAATTAAAATAAACCATCCCATGCAACATCAGTGGCAACATGGTATTAACTTACTAAACAGGCGTTTGGTATGTAATTGTTAAGTGCTAGAAATTTCTGGAAGGCATTGGGGGAAAAAAAGTGCCTAAAGTAGTCTCCTTACCCAAAGAACCTCCAAGCCTACTTTGCTGTGTTCCTTCTGCGCGTGGAGGTTAGTATTTGGGAGTTTGAAAGAAAAGGAGGTAGCCAGGTGTGGTGGCGCACACCTTTAATCCCAGCCCTTGGGACGCAGAGGCAGGGACGTCTCTGAGTTTGAGGCCAGAGAGTTTCAGGACAGCCAAGGCTACACGGAGGAACTCTGTCTTGAAAAGCACAAAAATAAAAAAGAAAGTGATTTGGGCTCTTTGTTTTGTTTGAGATAAGTAGCCGGCTGACCTCAAACTGACGGTGATCCTTTGGCCTCAGCCTCCTGAGTGATGAGACTATGTGTGTGAGCCACCTCTCCTTGGGACCTGCCCAACTTCCTGGTTCTTGGAAAGGTAGACAGCAAAACAAAATCATTCTGCCCCCAGTCCTGCATTACTTCAGCTGCTTTACCTCACCGTCTTCTGGAGAGTGCTAGGCCTTGCCAGGACATGTGCCGGCTCAGCTGCTGAACAAGAGGCCAGGTCCCTGAACTTGGGTCTAGGCCCTGCTGTAATGGGATCCTGGTATAATTACCCTTCAGATCATGAAATCCATGTCATAGGAAAGCAACTCTTCAGTAGCAGACAAAAGTCAAAAGACTGAAATCTTCAGGGAGCTTCGCTCTGTGATTAATACACAGCAGAAGAAATCACTGATCTCTGGTATTTGTGCCTCTGAAGTTCATTGACTAATTGAGGGAATGAGTTACTGAGGTAACCCTTGGCCACTGACTCGGGCACATGATATACTTATTTCTCTCTCAGTGGTATAATGTTGCATGATTTTAGTAAGTTGTCCTGTGACCTTTTTTTCCCATTATTTATCCAAACTAGGGTTTTGCCCTATGGCTTAACTTCTAAAAAAGATGAGTAGACCCATATAATGAGTCCTTATCATCTTTATGCATAGTTCCCAATGGCTTCAATTGTTGCAAACTCAAGCATTTGTGGAACAAGATTCGTGTTGTCTGATGTCATTGTCTGCCTGGGGTGCCTTAAAATGATATTTAACAGCTGTTAAATACAAGCACAGAGGCAGGGAAGGTGTGGATTGGCTTCTTTGTAGTGTTGTCAGTTGATTGACTACACAGATTGGCATCTCGGAACGTTTTCATGACAGAGGAGTCTTCTAATGGAACACGAGAGAGAACTACCAGCAGTGACCCACATGACATGGTTTAGGGAGCTGGCATCCTTGTTCCTGAATTGTGTTCTAGAATCGTAACCACCACAGCCTTTTGTCCTCTGAGTCAGGCATGATTACTGTTGTCTGTGATGGTTAATTGTATGTGTAAACGTGCCTGGACGTCCATGGGGGTGTTTCAGGGACTGAGAGCAGCTAATGGCGTCTCCCAGGTAACCGGGCATCCAGTCCACGACTAGAAATGGTGGAGGAAGAGTAGATTGGTTCTCTTCGCCCAAGTGGAGACGTCTGTCTCCCCCTGGCCTTGCGCATTGGTCTCCTGCTTCGCAGGCATCCGGACCGAGGCTCGAATGAGCGTGTCCCTCATTCTCGGGTCTTCATGCTCAGGCTGAATTACACCCCGGCTTTCCTGCTTCTCCAGCGTGCACACAGCACGTCGTGGGGTGTCTCACTCCACATAAGTGCATGAGTCAGTTCCTGTAGGACATTTCTTTGTGTGTGCATCTCTGTCTAGCCTATGGGTTTTATTTCTCTGGAAAATGCGAAGTAATCTAGTTCAAGAGTGGTTCTAAAGGAAGAGAATTTAAAGGATATGTTTTCTGGGTCAGTTCTGGGGTTTCTGGAACTGCTTTTGGAGTCTGGCTACTGTTAAAGATGGCAGCCACTGCATTTCCAGCAGTAAAGGCAACCGAGACAGTTCACGGCATGAACTGTATATAAAGATATGCAAAATGTCTCCATTGGACTTATATAGCCAATCACCTATAAGAAGTAGGAAATGGATGTGTGTGAATATGATCAAAGTACATTTTACGTGT